AAAAAAAAATTCAATCCAATTTTAAATAAGAACCTTTAAGGGTGGGATACAGGAGAATTTATCTAGAAAAAATTCTAAAATTTTTCTTTGTTAATTTTTCATCCCAAAAGTAATATACGCTGGTTAAACAAGTAGAAAAATCCAGCGTTGTTTTAAGAAGTTAACAACCTCTCCCCTCCCTTCCTCTTCTCCGTTCCCACCCCTTGGGCTAATCAGTGTCCTTGCTCATACTAACACAGGCAGGGATATTGACCACTCTTCTTTCATCACTTTTTAATTTGCCTTTAATGTATCATGGACATCCCTTTGGATCAATCAATCAGCACTAACTCATTCTTTTTAATAACTGTGTGATACTCCTGTAATTCAGTTAGTCGTTCTGATATTGTTGGATTCAAATTGCCCACAGTTCTTTGCCACTATAAACAATGCTTCAGTAAACATCCTTGTACACATGTCTTCACATCCTGGAAACTTTTCTCAGTATGAACGATTTCCAAAAGAGGTATAGCCAAGTCAAAGTGTTTTGTTTTGTTAAGTCTAGTAGACACTGATAGATTCCCTTCCCAAAAGTTTATCACAATTTTATTGCCATTATTAGTACATGGAAGAACTGTTTCCCCACATTCTCCCCCAGCACTGCATATTATCTCTCTTTTAAGTTACACCAAATTCATGGGTAAAAATGGTATCTTATTGTTTGCATTTCCCTGACTAGGGAAATTGAAATTATTTTCATGTTTATCAGTCACATAGAGTTTAATCTAAACTGTTTATGCCCTTTGATTATTTTTACACTGAATTTTTGTGTCATTCTTGAAATACCATAAGAGTGTTTTGAATATTAGGTATACTAACACAAGGTGTGTGCTACAAATTTGTTGCCCAATATATAATTATTTTTATTTTATTCATGGAGATTTTGACATGAAGACATTTTTAATTTTTATGTAACTAAGTATGTTATCTTTTTCACTTATGACTTCTTTAATTAAGATTTTTTCCTACTCCAAGATTATGCAAATGTTTTCTTATTTTGTCTTACAACAGGTTAATTTTTACGTTTTACGTTTCAATCTTCACTTCATCTGGAATAAATTTTTGAATGGTGTGAATTAAGATTCTTTTCTATCTTTCTTCCACATGGCTAGCTAATTAGGCTAGTACTATTTATTAAATAAATCAGTCCATTAGTGAAACTTAAATGCCCTTTTTTCATATAACATGGGAAGTAACTCAGGAACAGAAAAATAAATGCTGCATATTCTAACTTAAAGGTGAGAGCTAAACTGTGCCTACACAAGAGCACACAGAGTGGTATAATAGACATTGGAGACCCATAAGGAGGGAGGGTGGGAAGGGATGAGGAATGAAAAATTACCTATGGGTACAATGTACACTACTCAGGTGATGGGTACACTAAAAAGCCCAGACTCCACCACTATACAATACATATATGTAACAGAATTTAACTCGTACTTCCTAAATCTATTAAAATAAATAAATAATTTTTTAAAATTTAAAATAAATAAAAAATAAAAATGAACTTGGCTTTACATATCCTTTGCACTATGTCTTATTCTCCATTTCATTATTTTCAGCTTTCATGTTTACTAATTGTTTCATTTGTTTTCCTCTGCTTCATTTTGATATTCTTTTCATAATTCCTTGAATACTTACTTTGTCTATTTTCAGTCTTTCTTTTAAAATCAGCTATTTTAAAATATCTACGACTTTAAATTCATTGCAGTTTTGGTTTTGGCCATATTTGGGAACCTGCATTTATAAAATCACCTTCGAATTTTTGAACATTTCTTTAAAATTAGTTACATTATTTTATATTTCACTCTTTAACAATATAATTTCTGACATCATACATTCACTGCTAAAACTCTCACACTTCTTGGTGATATTCCCCCTCAGAATCAGATACTTACCTTTCCGTGAAGTCTGTGGCTTGCCAGAATGGCATCACAAGTCTCTTCCTTCCAAGCCCATGAGTATAAAATACTACATAATTTGCCCTGACTGCTACCAAAAATTCCAATTACTTTGTTCTATTTTGTAGGCTTCTGGCTTTGAAGAAAGTATTACTATTCTAGGAGGCTGATATTCTGTAGCCTTGAGAAAATGCAATGTCTCACTCATGTTTGTTATCCGCTCAAGTATCTTGACCAGGTCTCGGACACTGTAGACTCCAGCTGCCTAGATTTTGTCAACTGAAAAGTGAAATAAAAGGCGCCAGAACTTAGAGAAATCATGGTTAGATTTATTCTGAGCCACGCTTGAGGACTTGAGCCCAGGAACACAGATTCGTTATAGACCAAAAATGTGTCCTGAAGTAGGTTACATGAGGCAGAGTATGTACACCTTGTCCAACAGGAGGGTACATGTGGCACAGAAGCTGGGAGAAGTGGGTAATAAGCAGCAGCTACATTCTTGTAACTCTGGCACTCAGTGACACTATACATAAGTTAAACATGCAGCTAACTGGATAGGGAGAAAGTTTAGGCATCTTAGGGTCTGGAGGAGGGTGACTGATTCCACCCTGTCTTTGTTCTGCATCTGATAAACAGGCTTACAGTGTACCTTTCAGTGAAGTAGTTAACAAACTCCAGTTACCCGGGCAAGAGGTCAGCTTTAGTTAGAAGCCTAGATCTTACAAGCCATGTGCCCAACTTCAGCCATCGTGAGCCACAGTTAAAATTTTCTTTTGAATTTTCCTTTTTCTGACAATCTCAATTAGTGAAAGGTGAAGAAAAAGTTCAAGGGTATTGATGTGACTTTTCACTATCCTATATAGGAGATGACTGACGACATGGACCCATATGTGAACACATATTGTGTATTCTCCAAAGTTCCTCAAAAATTACAGAAAGTCCTGGAAAATAGTGAAGTCATAAACTGGAGACAGATATTCCACATCCAAGGTAACAAGTCAGAGGCAGTGGACAACAGCGGTCCTTCTCAAATTAGGTCCTCAACTAACCACATTAGCATCGCCTGAGAACTTATTTTAATAAGTTCAACTTAAGTATAACAATTTATACTTTATACAATAAGTATACAATAAGTATAACAATTTATACTTTTAAGTATAAATTGTGAGAAACTCTGGGTTGGGGAAGGATACAGCAATCTGTGGTGTAATATGTGCTCCAGCTGATTGTGGTGTAAGCTCAAGTTTAAGAACTTCTAAGCAGTTGCATTGAGTTATCATTCAAGTGGGAGCCCCAGAAGTAGAGAACTCAATCACTTACAATATTGCTTTCTTCCCAGGTTGTCAAGAAAGTTTGGGTGAGGAGATAACAGCAGTTACATTTTCAAAGTCAGTGAGGATAAACCACTTGAAGGCAGTCCTCTGTATAAACGAAGATATCCTGAGGCTCAATGTCTCCGAAGAGCAAGGCTGGAAGCTGGTGTGAGGTGGAACACGGAGATGATGAATTTGAGAGGTACAAAAAAACATGCACTCATAACTCCTGTGGCTTTTCTTTAGTATTGTTCTTCTTTATACATTTTTGTAATGCACACAAATCGGTTTTGGAGAGAGGAGGGGACGAATTCATTCACTGGAATGAGTAAATATTGTCACTGCTCAAAATGAGCAACTTTGCAATGATGGTTCTTTAAACAAGGAGTGCCTGGGAGCTCTAGAATGGGATGCTATCCAGACATTACAGGAGTCGGGATAAAATTTTTTGTTTTCATTTTCCATAGTGATGATCCTAATTTTAAGATTTCCCAACTGGATATCTCTCATGCTGGGCTGATAAATGCCAGCTGGAGGCCAGGACGGAATGAAAAGAGCCCACATTTCATCCAGCGCTGCCTACAGAAGCTGCCAGCGTACTGTATGCTGGGCCCAGGAGGGGTCCCGGTTTCATGGATCATCATGGACTCCTCTTGTGAACTGAGAATGGCCTACGCTGTGGAAAGATACCGAAGCAAAGGCAAAGTGACACAGGTGTTGGAGCATTATGCGAAGTATCTGGGTCAGAAGAATATTCCATTTTCTCTCTCTGTGCTGGAAGAGAATGAAAAATCCAACAGAATTGTGATGCGGTTTGGTTTATTTGCGGCTGCATGTGGGTGGCACAGCTGGATATGCTACCCACAGAAATTAGTTCCATTTGTTCAAACAATGAAGCTTAGCCCTCCTGGGCAAGCCCTCGCTTAATACTGAAGCAGAAGTCACAAAGTAGCATTGTTCACTCACCAATGTTTAGTGGGTATTTAGGATGGGCCAGAAACTCTTCTCACACGGAGATACGATGTTAAAAGAAACAGCCACACTCTTCAGGAGTTTACAATCTGGGCAGAGGGCAGGGGAGGGTAGTCTTTCAATATGCGTAAATGTTGTTGGAAAGGAAGAAGTTACCATAAACATCTAACTAGAAAACTAGGGGCAGTTCTTACCTCTGGGAATCAGAACTCTTTATGAAATTTGATTGGCAGAATCTACTACATGGAAGATAAATAAGGAACTGTAATAAAATTGTCAGTAGAATATACCTAATCTGTATGGATACTTTCTTGTAAATACATCTGCTATTTATGGATTTATGAGACACAACTACACTAAGGAATGGAGTCAGTTTTGTAGTTTAGTGACTAGCAAGGTATAAAGGTGAAGCCCCCAACATATGTCTCTATTAGGCTAACTTTCATCAATGTTTTGCAGAAAAGTGAGTCCAAAAAACCAAGTCTGATGGACTCGGGGCCCCTGTTCTGGAAATGGCATTTGCTGTGCCTCCGTTCTCATACCACTTTCTTCCTAATCATTAGTGAAGCATGGCACTGGGTACGGTGTTTCCTGTAAGTCTGGTTATGAGTTCATCCCTTGGAGTTTGCCCCACTGCTGTCTAAGGGTAAGATCGGGGATCAGGAGGGTTCCTGGGAGAAGCAACAACTAAGATGAAGACTGGAAAGTGAGTTGGTGTGAGCCTGACAAAAAAGTGGTGAGAAATTCCAGATAAAGGAAAGAACATGTGCTAGGCACTATTATAAGAACATTATAATCAAAAACTTATATTACCATTTCAGAGTCCCTGATCAACAAAAAATAAATTATATACTTCAGGAACAAAACAGACATAATCATGACCTCTTTTGGCCCTGCTCTGCTACGCTGCCACTGGAACTTGGACCACCATGGACATTGCAACTATTGCAAAAAAAAAAAAAAAGGAAAAAGAAAAACTTTGGAAATTTCACTCTTTCTGATAACCTAGATGTGGATAAATTTTTAAAAAAAAAGGTATGTAAAGAAATCTTAATAGAATTGGCATTGAGAGTAAAATCTACCAGTGATACTCATCCTCATCTCTCCATAAAAAAAGCCATCACAAAATGTAATGTTTATATTTCATAAGATTTAAAAGTGTGCAATTATTTCAGCAATTAAAGAATGTTGTAGGTTAATGAGCTGTGTTTTTTTTTTTAAAATTCCAGTTCATCTTAGAAGGCTGTGGTAGATCTGTCATACCTTAGCATGAATTAATCCAATCAGATTGTTGAACTCCCAGATTGCTATATGGACTGGCTGATTGCTATATGGACTTAAATGAAAGCATGGTCTGAGAAAACATATCATTTTGGATTTTGAAAGGTAGAAAAGTCTGAGATAAAAAAATAAACTCAGGAACTTGGAGTTCTGTGAAAACAGCTATATTCCAGCACTCAAAATGCAGGAGCAAATACAGATGGTGGGAAAAAAAGAGGAAGCAAATAAAATTTGCGTATTTCAAAATGGTGCCTCAGGCAGGTCCTGTATCCAAAAGAGGATGTTCTGTTCATCCAGGGTTTGAGGCTCAAGTTGCCTCAGCAAAGCTGAGCTGGCAGTCTCCCCCTTCTGCTCATTTCATGAGTGCAGGCCAGCTCCCCTTATCCGGCCTTACGTGGCCCCATTAAGACAGTGATTCCCAAACCTTATCATGTACCTGTATTAAAGAAACAACAAGAAAGCATGAGAAAGAGGAAGGAGGATTTTTCTTTTTTTATTATTTTATTTCTTTTATTTTTTATTCAGTCCCCATAGGGGCCGTCAAAAATTGCCAATGCCAGGCCAGGCGCGGTGGCTCACGCCTGTAATCCTAGCACTCTGGGAGGCCGAGGCGGGCGGATCGTTTGAGCTCAGAAGTTCGAGACCAGCCTGAGCAAGAGCGAGACCCTGTCTCTACTAAAAATAGAAAGAAATTGGCCAAACAACTAAAAATAGAAAAAATTAGCCGGGCATGGCAGTGCGTGCCTGTAGTTTCAGCTACCTGGAGGCTGAGGCAGGAGGATCGCTTGAGCCCAGGAGTTTGAGGTTGCTGTGAGCTAGGCTGACGCCACGGCACTCTAGCCCAGGCAACAGACTGAGACTCTGTCTCAAAGAAAAAAAAAAAAAAAATTGCCAATGCCGACTATATTTCAAGTCGTCATAGTGGGGTATTGGGAAAAGTTTTCAATTAGCGATAATCGCTCCTTGGATAAACCTCATTGGCTACGATACTGCCACTGTGCAAAGCTAGGAAAGATGTTTTTAAAAGATGGCACAAATAAGTCCAAAACTACCAATAAGCATAATAAAAGTGAATGAATTAATTTTCCTAGTAAAATATCTGTCTTTCACATTGAGTTAAAAACAAAGTCCAAGAAACATGGATGTATTAATCTGCTCTGACTGCCATAACAAAATGCCATAGACTTGAGTGGCTTAAACAACAGAAATTTATTTCTCAGTGTACTGGAGACTAGGAAGTCCAAGATCAAGGTTCTGGCAAGGTAGGTTTCATTCTGAGCCGTCTTCTCTCATTTGTTGGTAGCTAATATCTTGCTATGTCCTCATATAGTGGGGGGAAAGAGGGAGAGAAAGTTCAGACTCTCTTCCTTTTCTTATAAGGACACTAATTTCATCAGAGGGCTCCACCCTCATGACCTCATCTAACCTAATTACTTCCCAAAGGTCCTACCTCCAAATACCATCACATTGGAGGTTAGGGTTACAACATATGAATTTGGGAGGCACACAAACATTCAGTGAATAACAAAATGTGTCAGAAATAAATAACGCACAAAGGTTAAAAGAGTAGGAAAAGATATACTAAATGAATGTTAAACTGAACGCAAATTAATAACATCAATACCAGGCAAAATAAAACTTAAGGTGAACAGCTGCTAAGTATAGACTCCTCCCACAAAACAAGTCAGAATCTTCCTCATTACACAACACAACACTACAACTACAAAATATATATGGCAAAAGCTGATAGACATACAAAAAGAGTGGGAGAATTCAGAAAATTTCCTTCAGTAAGCAACAGATCAAGCAGATAAAAAATAAAGATAATTTGGATTTACAAAACACCATTAAAACTTGATATTTTGGGTGAGTTTTGGTTATCTGCTTGTTGTATGCTTGACTACTCCTATTCATCTGTTTGCCAGTTTACCACAGCTGTCCAGCAGGGACCTTGGAGGAGGGAAACGCTCCACACAGACAGTGCTGCTAACTTGCCTCTAAGTCTAGAGGCTCCTGGTCCATCTTTGGAGTCATCAGCTATCTACTGGGAACAAGCACGGCCTCTCTATCCCTAGTGCCAATAATCACTTTAGCCTGTTGTGGATAAATGCAACCACTGCCACCATATTGCTTAGGGCAAGCAGGGATTTGAGGTTGGAGGGGGATGGAGGTTGACTACATAGGCCACCAAAAAAGCACATCTCAGCCCACTTTCCACCACTTCTTGCTTCTGCCATCCCCAAACTTAAAGATATTTTTGTTTTGTTTTTGATTTTTTAACAGTTCTTATTTCTGGCCCAAAGACTACCTTTTTTTATTCTTTTCGTCTGCTATTACAGATTTACTCTGGGTTTTCTTGTTTTGTTTTTATCTTTTCCAATATTTCACATAATTATAGGTGTGGGAAAGACAGACATGTGTTTGTTTCTCCAATCCGATCCCTCTCCACCTAGAAATCTCTCTCTCTCTCCTCTTTCTCCCAGGAAGGTTCCAACCCTCTTGTTCTGTCTGAGTTCTTGTTTTTGCCTCAGGCAGTTGCCCTTGTGGTCAGATGAACCTGGGCCAATTCTACTTTACTATGGACACTAACTCCCCTGAAACCTAAGTCTTGGGCTTTGCATACGAATCTTCCCCTGACACAGCAATCCTTCTCTTTTTACCTTCACTAAAGGAATACACTCAGGGGTAGCTCTAAAATTCCATGGATCCTAATGCACTACCTCTGAAAGCAAATTTTCTGTGCCTTTTGGGGGTCTTTTGAATGGGGTGGAAGGAGTAGGTTAGGAGATACGATTTCCTCCTTCCTTCCTCACCCTGAAGGAGATCCTATTCTATTCTCAAAGGGAAAAATTAGGGACAGTCCAAAGGAAGCTCTTGGAAATCAAGTCTTGCCACATCACCATGAGAAGAGTAACCTGTGTGCACAGGGGTGATATTCTTAAAAATTTAGCAATGATGTCCAGGGGTGATAATAAAAATATTTTATAACCTGTAAGGGCACCAAACTTTCAGAACATTGTGTCTTCCCAAGGACTCACTCCAGGGTCTAGAGATCATGACACCTCACAAGCAGCCTGCAGGCAGTCCCTGAAGGCTACCCACCTGTCCCTTCCCCAAGATACATACACATACAAACACACACACACACACACACACACACACACCCTCTTCTGCTAACCTCTTTGGCCCCTGATGCCACCTAACTTTGTTCTAAATCTTTATCTCCCTGTGCTCCTGAACGCATGCAATGTAGGGCCTTTGTGATCCCTTTTTAAGGATATTCTCTGACCTGACAACTATTCATGAGCAATATATCTAAGGTAAACTTTTCATTTCAGGTCAAATCAGCCACTCTTCTCATAAGGAACAATGAACTTCCTAGCTGCCAAGAAAATATATTGAAAAGTGTTATCATGTTTGTATAGTGATAGATTATCCCTGGAAAGATACTGAAGGTCTAGAGAATGGGGTGAAAATTAGTTATTTCCCCTATATATGCTTTTTTTTTCTTTTGAAAAGTACATCCAGTATAGATCCAAAACATAATTTTTAAAGGGGGATATTGACTCCAATATGGAATCTTATTAATTCACTTATCAGACTCCCTTATTACCTTTTTATTCAATCAATAGCATTTTTCCTGGTGCTCATAATTGAACACAAATTTCTTTACT